ATCGACGCTCCCAACCATACAAATCTGGAAAACAGAGGGTGACCACTCCATACCACCCCACGATCCTACCTGATGAACTGTCCGGAGACCTCTGTGTTTTGCTCCCCACCAGAGACATTATGTCTGCCGCCCGTAGACTGACATTCGATCCATGTTGTTCTTGTCAATGACCAGTTACACACCCAGTTGATTGCTCCTTTAACACTAAGTTGAGGATGTGCATAATGATGCTCTGAAAAGTTATATACTGTTATCCCTTTTATGCTTGCCAGCACTATTTGCCTTTTAAATGTTACCGTTCCTGGTGCTATGTTCATATGATTACTACATGAGGAGCTCTCTAGGGGGACCGGGTGATCAGCGCCCCCCCTTGAGAACAGCAGATAGGAGGGAGGACTTTTCCACCTCGCTATCTGCGACACTTGTCCTTAGGGACAGTTTTCTGAGTTCCATTTTGTTACTACTCTTTGTTCACCTAGCCCACTGTCGGGCTCCTGTTTTCTTTTTCCTCTTTATATTCTTCTCCCTTACTCTCAGTCGATCGGTGGTCTGGAATACAATGCTTTGGTCAATCCTCCACAGGTTTCTCGTGAGTTATCATGCACATGGGAAACACCCAGGGTTGCCTATGTCGCCTAATGTTCATGCTTGTTAACCATGGCTACTAGTTTTAATGTTTTCTCCCATAACGTCCAGGGGCTGAATTCGCTGCACAAACGGAACAAAGCATTCTCATACTACTCATCCTGCCATGCCGACATAGTCTGCTTGCAGTAGACTAGATTTTCTCTCACCTCTTGTCCTAAATATTTACATAATCGATTCCCTATATTCTATAGTGCCAACTTCTCAGAAAAAAAGAGAGGGGTTCTGATAGCGATTAGGAAGAATCTACCTTTCGTGTGTGACAAGCAAATTACAGACCCCACTGGACGTTATGTGATATCGATTGGATCGCTATATGATATTGACAGGACTATAGTCTCGTACTATTGCCCTAATACACACCAACTCCGCTTTCTCTCCCACTTATTGAAAGTAGTCACCCACCATAGTAAAGGTATCCTCATCTTGGCTGGGGATACTAATTTAGTCCTTTTATCCTGCTCAAAAACTAAATCTACTGATGCTGCCAACCCTTCCCCACTACCATTGCAGAACTCCAACTCCTCCAATTGTTAAATGATCATTCCCTAGTAAATGTGGAGGGAACTGAACCCATTCTCCAAGGACTACACATTATTTTCGAATCCCCATTAATCGTTTTGCAGAATTGATTACGTGTTTACGTTGCAATGTAATGTTCCTGCTTTCCTTTCTGCACGAATCAAACCCGTGCCTTGGTCGGACCATGCAGCAAATGCTGTACGGTTCCGCTTGGAAGCGGCTAGACCAACGCCCTTTCTATGGTGCGTGAATGATAGCATACTGTCATCTGAGGTCCTCCTGCAACAGGTTGAATCACATGCCCGACAATTCTTTTCTCTGAATGCTGGTTCTGTGGACTCCCCAGTCATAATATGGGAGGCCCACAGGGCAACCATGAGAGGTCAGCTAATAGAAATAGCCACACAAAGGAAGAAAGAAAGGAATAGGAAGGTCAGCGAACTTTATACCAAACTAGAGGAACTCACTACTGTGTGAAAGATAAGCAGGATAGGCGCTTACTGACACAATTGAATACAGTTAAAACTGAATTAAATCTCCTACTAGATCAACACTCGGAGAAGCTCCTTAGATGGTCTAAACACAAATTCTATTCCACATAAAAAAAAACAGGCTCCATGCTGGCTAGAAAACTGAATGCACTCCCACATAGGTTTGCGCCCCTTAGACTTCGAATCACACAGGGCAATATTAGAGCAAACCCGAACAAAACTCTTAATATGTTCCAAGAAAATGTAACTAAGCTCTATTCGGCCTCTAATTAATTTGACGAAACCAAAGCAGACGCACTACTTAAGGACCTCCCATTCCCTACTACCCCAAACCCCCCGGCATCCCTTGACCAACTTCATCTAGAAATAATGGAGGAGGAAGTGCTGAATACAATCAAATCCCTTAAAATATCAAAAGCCCCCGGCCCAGATGGGTTTTCAACCCTTTATTACAAAAAGTTAGCACCCATATTGGCACCTAGGCTAACAGGTATGTATAATTAATTGCACAAGGGGGACTCAGTACACCTCTCATCTCTGTTGGCGTACATTTCAATGATACCGAAACCAGATAAGGACCCTCGAGACCCTGATAGCTATAGGCCTATATCCCTCCTAAATGTGGACCTTAAAATACTGATGAAGATCCTGGCTACACGTATTAATGCCTTCCTACCTGTACTGATCCATAAGGACCAGGTTGGCTTTATTCCATCACGGCAGGCAGGGGATAATGTCAGGAAAATCATCCACTTAGTACATGTACTCAGGACATCCAGCGGGCTTTTGACTCAGTCTCCTGGGATTACCTCCGGTATATCTTGTAAAGGCACACGCCAGGGATGTCCTCTATCGCCGGTCCTTTTCGCCCTAGCCATAGAGCCTTTGGCCTATATGATCCGCTCAAATCCAAACGTGAAGGGAGTTGAGGTAGCAGGGGTGGAATACAAAACTAGCTTGTTTGCAGACGACGTCATACTGACCATTACCCAACCTCCTACTTCTGTCCCCAACCTATTGCACACCTTGCATCTTTTCTCGGATATCTCTGGCTTGGTGGTTAACTGGAAAAAATCAGCGGCCATGAATGTGTCCTTGCCACAGCATGTTTATGATAATCTCCGTAAGAATTTTGCATTCACTTGGGAACAGAAGTATTTGAGATATGTAGGGGTTAACATATCTCCCTCGTATGCTACACTGTATGTAAATAACTACCTACCCTTGCTTAGACACCTTAAAACTTTAATGGACACCTGGGTACACTATCCTGGTTTGGAAGGGTTGCTGCAGTCCCTAAGCTACTGTACTATTTCAGAGTGTTACCGATAGCGGTCCCATCCTTTATCCTACGAACTATCCAAAGGAACATCTTGTCGTTCATATGGCACCCACTACGCCCCAGGGTCCCACGGTCCACACTATATAAGCACAAGCGGGAAGGGGGGATAGGCCTTCCGAATATCCTTCTCTACTACCAAGCATCCCAACTGTTACCACTAATTGCCATTCACCGCATAACTAATATCCCACTATGGACCATGTTGGAAATTCCCAACTGCTCCCCGATTCCTTTACAATCACTCCCCTAGTTACCGGCAGTAGATAGGCCCCGCTCTCTCAGTCCTCTGATGAAACATGCCTTGAAAGTGTGGGACTCCTCACGTCTGATATCCCCTTCCTTACCCCTTCTCCCCTTACTTTCGCAACCTTTATTTGTCCCAGCATACACTAACCCAACAATGTTTAGGTGGTGGACCGATAATGGCTTCACTAGGCTGTATGATTTTTATCGTTCCTCTGACATACCGACTTGGTCCTATCGTAAAACGCACAAACAGATTCCGGACGCAGAAATGTTTATTCAACTGCAACACTGGGTACCCTCTATGCAGGCACGTAGACATTTAAATACCCCACTTACCTGCTTCGAGCACATCTGCCTTTATGCACCAGGAGGGCCTCAACAGGTGTCAATTCTATATTCTACTCTGAATTCCCTAACTCGTACTAGTTTCCATTATTATTCTAACAAATGGTCCGCAGACCTGGGTCTGATGATGATTGGAAGGGTGTAGAAAAATATTTCCCGGTAATGTGACAAATTCTGAGGTTGCCTTCGCTGCTCAGTTCTGGACCAGAATATTTTGTTTGCTCTCGACTCTATTCGCCAAAGATATCTCTAAAGACCCAACACAGGCTCTACTTCATGCCTCAGTACCCGGATTGAATAAATCTCAGGGTGCCCTGGCTCACCAAATACTCATTGCTGCCAAATTAACCTTAGCGGGAAATTAGAAAAAAAAATGTTATCCCATACCGGGAGTTTACCAATAGATTGGATAATGTTCTCTTAAATGAACGGTTATCATGTGTCCGATACACATGCCAAATTTCTTAAAATCTGGGAACCCTGGATTCTACATAATCACCCCGATCTGGATGTCAACACCCTTCACCGCCTGTGATGTGGTCTATAGAGTCAAGGGGTAATGAATGTGAGGCCCACAGTTACGAACCAAGGACCTGTGGAATGGACCCAAATCACAATCGAAGCTGACCGACCGATGGACCCCCTACTTGTTCTTTTTTCTTTCCTACTCTTTCCTTTTGTCTTTTATTGCAATAATGTTGATCTACAGTGTTTGCATTGACATACTATTGACTACATTATGTTGCCTATGTGGCCTTCTGTAGCCGGCAAATACTGTATAAAATGCTGATTATTTCTACCTTGAAAACCCAATAAATATTTGGTTACAAAAAAAGATAACTCGGAGTTGTTAACTGGGGACAAAGAGAAGGCAAATCTATTAAATACTTTCTTCAGCTCTGTGCACACCAAGGAACAGGATGTAACTCAAGTCCATAGCAGTGCCATAGCCTCTACTTAACCACAATGGCTGACTATTAATATGGTCCAGAAACAGTCAAACAAAATAAGATGAACAAAGCACCTGGACTGGATGGCTTACACCCAAAGAATTGAGCTGTATAATTTCAAAGCCATTGTATCTATTTTTTAGAGACTCTCTACTGACTGGCTTGGTACCGATGGACAGACTCCGTGGGACAGGAAGATACAGCAGTCTGCGCTAGATCAGAGACCAGCACCAGCGCTGGAGGGACTGCTGAGAACAAGTGGAAGGAGGAAGATGGTCAGATCAAGAGGCATCATTTAGGGTAAGCACTTGAAGCAGCAATGGGGGGTAGTGAATTCTCAGTTTATCCATATTGGTACACACATGTTCGTTAATACGTGCTATGAACAAGTAAGAATCTAGCATCAAACCTATAATAGCAAAACAACAGTTAGACAGCATTTATAAACAGAGACTATACCTCATAACTTCTTACTACACGCATGCCTCGTCCACCCCCTCCGTAAGCTGCCTTGAAGATGATAGGAAAGCCATATTTGTTGGAAAATTCTTTAGCTTCAGTCAGACAAGCAATAGGAGAGTCTGTACCTGGTACAACTGGAACTCCTAGGAGTACACAAAAAGTAGGATGTCAGAATTATTATGGAGAAAAAGAGCACATACAAAGATATCAATTAATTTATAGATATGTCCACAGTAAGATTTAGCCTGGTTATTTTTTGTTTTGTTTTTAATTTTGCAATATGCAGTCCAATATTGCATCAACAGAATAATTCAAGCAAAGCAAATGGCAAACACACTCATCAATTTGTTACCAGATTTACAGCAAGGTGCACAGGAAGGGCTTAAGACAGTACACCAGCAAAAAGTTTCCCAGTACTCTCACCAGTCAGCATGCAAAAAAAACTCATCGCTCTCTCACCGCTAAGGTTAAAAACCTGCACCCAATTTGATCTTTTGCTCCAGAGAACTATTCACCATTATTTGTTTTCTCTTCTTTTTGATTTATGAATAGAGAAAATTACCTAGTACATAGTATTACAATTTGATGGGATTATTATAACCATAATTTAAATTGTATTATTAACATTGCATCATGAGGTATCTAAACATTTGCTAAATTAAGTCATTTTGTTTTAATAATGTGATATATATATATATTCGTTCTTTCTCATCAACCTTTCTATATTTTCATTGTTTAAGGACATAGATGTGTTTCTTAAATGTCTGGAAATAGACAAATAACTAGCTATCTCTTATATTGAAGTTTCTTCACTGAGCTCAGGTCAAAGATCTCATGACATGTTACAGAAGTTTTAAAAGGAAAATTCAAAATGATTCCTAGACCAATGCTGCCTCCTTCAGGTAATTCCAGGTATAGTTTGGAGTAAGGTGAGATGGGTCGGGACCTCATAGCGTGGAGATAAGATAGAACTTTCCCCTCCCATATTTTTGGGTGATCAAAGTTAGAAGTTTGGGAGAGGGGGGGACTGAGACAAAAGACGAGACTGAAACAAAGAAAGACCGGACTGACGGGAAGAGAACCTGAACATCTGACAAAAAAACTCCTGTCCAAAAATTGACCAAAGCTGACATCACTGAGACCAAAGAAATTCCATAAATAAAATATAACATTGCATCTATCTGTAAGCAATTTATGCTAGCCATATATCTCTGATTAGAGAGGGAGCTATGGCTAGCATAAATTGCTTACGTGCTAATGGTGACGTAAGCTGCGGCTCAGCATGGCTCCTAAAACCATCAGACATCACCCAGCTACACGGCCAGTTATCAGCGATTATACCAGCGATGGGGAAGAAAAAGCAGCCACCACCTAATACACCTGCTACACAAGCATCGGCTCAAAGAATTGGCTCCTTTTTTACACCTGCTCAGTTACAGCTCCAGCAGGCTTTAAGATCTAAGGCAGAGTTACTATCTTCCCTACGGAGCAGTCGCCCACCCCTCCCAGCCTCACCTGCTTCAATCATCCGGGTCGCTGCTCCTTCTCAGGAGCCGAAGATGCAGCCGCAGTCTGCTTCCAGCCCTGAGACAACACAGCTGGCATCTGACATGGTTGGCTTCCCCAGCAACCTCCCCCGCTTCAGTGCCAGCTTTCTCAATTCAGAATGACTTGTACAAAAATTTTCTTAATTTCTCTTAATGTATGCATCCTAGACAGGGAGGAGGAATTGTTTAAAAGAGGTGTGAAAGAGGCCATTTATGTAAAAATGGAGAAGCCAAGCTTGAATAGAGGTGTGTGTGTGTGGGGGGGGGGGGGGGGGGGGGAGTCGGAAGAAAAATACAGCAAGTCCAGATGCCTTGATTTATTTTTTTACAGATATACCATGACTTGGATAAATGAGAACCTTCACAGACATACTGAGGAATAATAAGTAGGGATGCACCGATATATTGGCCGCCGAAACATATCGGCCGAAAATGGCACTTTTGGCATAAGGCCGATACATCGGCGCATCCGTGATTTCTTTTCTCCCAGCTGGGCGCTGCTCTATGTCCCAGCTGGGAGAAGAGAAAGTGACAGCCAGCCGAGCGCTGCGGTGGAGAGCTCTGTGAGCGGCCGGTGTCTCCTCCCACACCGCTCTGCCGCCTATCACAGTCCGGCAGAAAAAAAAAAATAAAAAAGTTTATAAAAAATAAATAAAAATAAAATATAAAAAAATTGAAAAACATTTTCGGTATCGGTTTCGGCCTGACATTTTATTTATTTTCGGTTTTAAAATTTCCATTTCGGTGCACCTCTAATAATAAGTATAGTCCCTACCTGTGGGGTGGAGAATACGCCAGCAATACACTTACCGCATTAAATACATTTTAGAACGGAGCCTCTGAAGAGAGTCTCAAGAGAGAGGGCCTGCCTGTGGACTCCAGCACAGCATCCAAGAATAAATTCATATCCCGCCACGACCAGAGAAAAAACGATGGCAAATTATTCAAGTCGAATATTTTTTGTACAAGTCATGCTGAATTGAGAAAGCTGGTCGGATGATGTTTCGTCTTCAGGAAAAATACAGCAAGTCCAGTTGACTTGACTTATTTTTTTACAGATATTGTTCCTCTGTACATAATTCCTATAGCTGCATTGACCACATATAGGCACAGCATAATATCCTTGACCTATAAGCCAAGGTTTATATAGGCCCAATTTTACGGTCAGATCATGTGCCAGTTTTACTGAATTTATGTACAGGGAACAGCTTTGCCAACTATTTCAGCGGAGGAACGAGATAAATTATATTCACCATTTACAGCAGAGGAGGTGAGAGTAGCACTTTCATTACTTCAAGTTAGTAAAGCCCCGGGTCCTGAAGGATTCACCTATCGCTTTTATAAACAATTGGGAGGTTTGTGGACACCTTTCTTTATGAAGGTATGCAATTTGATCTCAGACTGTTGTCCATTTCCTAAACAGTCACTGGAAGCCCATATTTTAATTCTCCCTAAGGCAGGGAAAGACTTGTCTGAGTGTGGCCATTTTCAACCAATTTATTTAATAAATATAGATGCCAAGGTTTATGCTAAAATTTTAGCCACTAGATTAAAATCTATAATGACTAAGATTATTCATCCAGATCAGACAGGATTTGTTATGGGGAGAGAGGCAAGAGATAGTCCTATTGGTCGATGCAGAGAAAGCCTTCGATTGGGTTAATTGGGTCTTTCTTAAAACATCCCTCCAACAGGTGAAATTAGGGGACTCTTATTTCTAAAGTGATTGCTTTATTTACCCACCCTACTGCAAGGGTACGGGTTAATGGTATTCTCCCTGACTCTATCACTATAAGTAATGGAACACGCCAGGTTTGCCCACTTTCTCCTCTTCTATACTGTATGTTATAGTGATGGAGCATCTTACGGTGGTGATCCGACAGAATCCATCAATTACGGCCCTAGTTTCCTGCTCTCATCACCACAAATTGTCTTTATGTGCAGATGATCTGCTATTGTTTATATCTACACCACTAATTTCTATCCCCAATATTCTGCAAGAATTTGATATGGGGTTTTTTTAGTCATTTTCATGTGAGCACTTCTAAATCAGAGTTTCTCGATATCTCTCTTTCTGAGTCATTGCGGGCCACTCTCAAGGATTCTTTTACGATGCTATCATATCTTGGGATTTTTTTACCCTCTGATTTATCTAAACTTTTTATAGTTAACCATAGTGACCTGATGGAGTTAATTATTTCTGATATCTCTACAAGGAATGTTTCTCGATTGTCTTGGGTGGGTAGAATAAATGTTCTTAAAATGTATATTCTTCTCAGGATTCTTTGGAATTGTTATTGGAATTGTTTGAAATGTATACTTCATTTCTTAAAAAAATTACGGTCAGCAGCAATAAAATTTGTTTGGGGGCCCCCCTCGACTTAGTGTGCCCCCTCCTCTTGGTCCGCTGTGAAGGGAACTCTGTCAGCTCCTTAATAATCCTGGCTCACCAATATGTTCTGGATATTAATATACGCTCATGCTCATAGAAATCCCCTGCCCTAAAAAGCACAGTTCTCAGCTCTTTTGTATAATATGATAGAGCGCGCTCTGCAGTACCAAGTAAAACAGACACATGCTCTTCTCACGTTGGATGCTCAGTAGAAAGTACTGTCTAGTGCAGGGAGCTCCTGTTTATTTATAGGGCACAAAGGGATAACAGAAAGAAAGGATGGCCACAACAGCCAATCAATTCCTCAATACATTTACATAACACAGAGTCAGCCAATGAGACACATGTGTACATTTGAACAGACAATAGAAAGGGGAGTATTTATGAGGGGGTAAGTAGAGATATGGATGGAGGTAAGCCGGTATATGTGGTATATCTGGATTTCTCAAAGGCTTTTGACAAGTTTTTGGCATTGGAGAGCTCTCCTTCACTCGAATTAAGACATAAAATTAGCCCGGGAGGTAAGGGGTTGAATTCAGCTTTGAAGCGAACCGCACAAGTATCGGGAAAAGAATAGTATGAAACACTTCAACTATTGAATTATATACAGTCCCTCAAACCTTGCGCTGATCTGACCTTGACATCTTTTGAAACATTTTGTATGTCAGTTGATCCTATTTTACATCAAGTATCAACTATTTATGGTATCCTGAAAGAGAGGAGGACTGCAGGACATTCATCTGTTATGCTGGCCTGGGAAAGGGATCTAAGTAAGGAGTTGACAGATTAAGAATGGGAGAAGATTTATAACCTGCCCCATATTTCCATCTCTGCCTTGTATCACCAAGAAAAGAATATCAAGATTGTGTCGTGCTGGTACAGGTGCCCCGATGTGCTCCATTGCATATACTCAACCACCATGATAGATGCAGGAGGTATTGGGAAGATGTGGGCACATATTTACATGTTTGGTGGGGTTGTGAGCGATTGCAACCATTTTGGAATAAAGTTTTTCAGGCGTACTGCTCAAAGCAGTCTGTAAAGATGGAGCCCAACCCACTTATTGCTATCCTTTCACTCATGCCCGGGTCCATTAGGAAATCTTTAGGTTCTGTTTGTAAGCCGCCAGATTCTGTATATGTAGATGTTGGAAAACCTCCAGGATGCCTTCTCTATCACTATGGGCTGATGAAATGGACAATATAATAAATATGGAAAAGCTTGTGGCGGAAGATACAGATGGTATAGATAAACATAGAAGGATCTGGCAGGGCTGGATCTCTTATAAACACACGGATGATTTTTATTCTGTGATGATGGGTAATGGAGGAGGTAATTAGGGGATATAATCTGACATGGACAAACCTTTAGAGAGTTGGGGTTGGCTTTTATAACATCTATTTTCCCATTTTTACATTTTATATGGATTTTGAGCTATTTATATATGCTGGCTACAAGCCTCTCTTTTTGGTTTTTATTTGTTTTTCTTTTTTTTTTTATCTCTCCCTTTTGTGTGCATTTTTTAGAGGGTTTTTTTTTGGAACATCACGTTATCGGCAATAAGGCTTTGGTATTCTATGGCAGGTAACTGGCCAATTTTTTCATCAAGACCGAGTTGCCTAAGTATGTTAGACAAATTAAACGCACCTAGCTGTACCTCTATTCCCCTTTTCTTTTCTTTCTCTCACAAATATAATTACATTGGTACATATCACCCAGTACCAGCACATGTTGAATATATGGGGAAGGGGAGGTATTCTTTGCACATGCACTAGGGATAACTATTTAATATGTCACAATTTTTGGAAAACAAGGTTATTTTTCACTAATTCGTTTTTATTTTAGTTGTTCTTCACTTGAAATTGAACGCACATTGTCACTCTTCGATTTAAGCTTGTGAATTAAGCGTTTATGTGGTACCGTATCAAATGCCTTTGCAAAATCCAGATATACCACATCCACCGGTCTCCCTCCATCCAGATCTCTACTCAACTCTTCATAGAATGTTTGTAGATTGGTCTGACAAGAACGGTCCTTCCTAAATCCATGCTGATTATCACTTATAATACTGTGGTCATGAACAAAATCCACTAAAAAGTCCTTTATCATTCACTCAAACTGAAATGGAGAAATTTTAGCTGCAGTAAAAATTATCTCCATTTCAATTTTGTGAAGCTAATATTGACTTCTAGTCAATGTTTTTGTGTTGTGTGTGGGGTTTTTTTTTTTTTTTTATTCCCTCTCTCTATCTATATCTGCTAATCCTGTTCGTATAGAATCATTTCAAATTGTTAATGTGTAGTAAGGATTTTGAGCTTTATACATCTGTTGTGCTGAGACACGTCATGTGTTACATCTGCACATTCTTGTTATCACCTCATATTGACAGTTTCACAAGTTGCTTTCATTGAGATATATGGTTTTGTTTTACTAATATCTAGAATAATATCCTGTGGTTTTATTTTCAGTGTCATACTTGCTGATCAATCTCATTGCATATTTTGAACCTTATTATTTATTGTCACTAATAAAATTATTTCGTTATTATTTTGCATTTATTTAATGAGACTTAACATGTTTGCTTTACTTGACACAGCCCAATTGTGTTTGTGTGCTTTAAAACTAATTTTAGTGTATTTTTTCCTAAAAAATATCCATTTGATAAACATTTGCAACATAAAAAAATCTCAACTAGCATTTTTTTTTCTACAGGGCTGCTGCTTTTAGTACATAATTGTTTAAAGTTTTGTAGCCCTGTTGTTGTACCAGCTCCTTTAAGAGAGGAGATGTTGCAGCTGCAGGAGGAGCCAGAAAGCACAGTTTTGTGGGGATTGTGTACACAGCTGAGGAGGAATTCTATATGACTGTGTGTACATAATTTACATTTCCCAGAGTGCTACAGGAAGAAGGGGAAGCGAGTTATCTGTGCAGAAGGTTGCTGGATTCAGTCCAATGTGAGGAAACAGAGAAGGCAGACTGCCATTTCTGTGTTGTGCTGCCAGAGCTGTAGAGAGACTGTACTGACTAGTCACAGGTGCAGTCCTGAAGTGGGATCGGCTACACAGAGGAAATTGCTGCTTGTTCCTGTCTGGAAGACGATCAGCTGACACTGCGGGTGAGGTGCCATCCTGCTGAGAGGACATCGAGGGCGGCGACTCGGCCCAGACACACGGACGCTAAAGCTGACGACTGGATCCCCTGAGGACATCAGACTCCAGCTCCTAATAGACGTGTTCTTCACTACAGGAGATAATTCCTGACATCCCTGCTGACTACAGACGGACATCTCCCTCTGTGTATGGGTGAGAGGCCATTGGCCTGTTGTTGTCCTTAACAATACACACAGATTTTTCCACCATTTGCAATGGGCCCCAATGTTGGCTAGCTGAAGATATTACCACTGGACAGTGGGTTAGGTACCCGGGTACATTGGGAATAAAGCTTGTGTATAGTTTGATTACCATTCAGTAAGCTTACAGTTAGAATAACTGCATTTATGGTTCATTACCGTTATGCTTGTGTCTCATATACAGTCGGTGTGTTATACTGTGTTAAGACAAATGTTGATCATATGCATTGCTATTCAGATTACTATATACAGTAAATATTCATTTAAAACCTTTCAAGGTGTGCTGGTGTGCAGTGTATTTATTATTGAGGTGCATCTCAGAGGAAATACATGGAGACCCGTTATTTTATTTTACTGTAGATCACCCCTTCAGAGCCACCGGTAGTGTTATCCTGTGTTGGGATATCGCTGACTGAGTAAGAGGGACACTAGAGTTTCAAACAGTTTTCTTGCCAAAAATGCAAATTGTGCAACATTGTTTACCATGTTTAAAATTGTAAAAATTGCTCCGGTCCCGAAGTGATTATTAAATGGGATGGATGAATTTTAAAAAACAACAAAACTTGCCATGAATAATATTTTGGTAAAAATATACTGTAAACAGAATATGTCAGGAAAAAAACAGGCATTATTTGCAGCTGAAGCTTCCCACCAAAGCTGGAGGCTGCCATTGCACAATTGCTAGAAGTAGTCCTGAGGCAGTCACCCTCAAGCACCTGGAGGAACAAGCACTTCCTCCAGGTGCCAGGACATACCAGCCTACAGTGCTAGATCAGAGTTTTGGCTGTTCCCAATACTAGACATTCTAAAAGATTTAAAATGAACCTAATAAAATGTATAAGTGTATTTACAATCAATGCAAAACATTTTGTAACAAGAACTGCCCTGAAGGAACATATGCAAGTACAGGAAATGTATAAAAACAAAAGTGAATAAACAACTTATTTTCTTTGATCATTCTTACCAGCACTTATTGCAATAGCTCGAGCTTCCACTTTATCGCCCATCTTACGCACAACCTCAGGTGTGGGTCCAATGAATCGTACATCAGCGTCTGCACAAGCCTGTGCAAAATCAGAACGCTCAGACAGGAAGCCATAACCTGGGTGAACAGCATCCACTTCATTTTCCTTAGAGGTGAAAACATACGGAAAATATCAAGTCTATATTCAGCAGAGCTTAATCAAGTTGTTTTTTTTAATTCAGTTTCTTAATATCAAAAAGTGAAGCGCCTTCATTTAAACAGGCTCATTACTGTACTGCACACATGAAAACAATAAAAATTTAACTTTAAATATGACAGTATTAAAAAAAATAGATAAAATGTGACAAACTTTTTATCTATTTTTTAACCTTTTTGTCCGAGTATAGATCTAGGTTTGTCACAAGCAAATTTAAAATGTAGAAATTAAAATGTAGAGGACTTTAAGAGCCTCATAATCTAAGTTAAAGAACCGAGTAAAAAGATGGGACTTCTGCTAAATATCAAGATAACTAAAGTTATGACAACAGGAAAGACACCCCTAAAGTTGATGACATGGAAATAGTAGACAACAAAGGATTCAGCAGTCAAGAAATACACAGGGCCGGCCTTAGGCCTTTAGGCGCCCTGTGCGAGAAAGCTTTACAGCGCCCCTCAGTGGCCACACCCTTTAGTGGCCACGCCCCCGTAACCACACCCATTTCCCCCAATATATGCACCATTTAAAGACTCCTATTTTGTTAAGCCGCAAAGAAACATATACAGCACAGACTGGACCTTAGAAGAACAAGAATGAAAGACCTAGAAATGCTTTTCAAATGTACACGTGTCTGCAATTACAAAGATCAGAATTAGCTATGGTATTTTCTGTCACACTTATAAAAGCTGGACAGTGAAGAAGACAGGAAAAGCATTGATGCCTTGAAACTTTGGAGTTGTGGAAGAATTCTACAAATACAATGGACATCAAGGAAACAGACATCCGGTAGAGTTTTTTTTTCTTTGTGTCCGAGTATAAATCTATGTTTGCTAGATACATTAATGATCTGATGCTAATATGGGACGGTAGTAGGGAAAGCTTATTGGAATTTGCAGGTTATTGCAATCATAATCCCTTTTCTATACAGTTCCCCTATGCAATATGTTGTGGAAATTTTATTTGGATGTGTTTTTAGTAGATTGTATATGTGAATATTGTCATCATGTCTCTCAGTGTCAGGTTTACCGGGTTACGCTCTATGGAGCGTAGCCGGGATTAATCAGCACTGAGGATAAACCATTGGAGTGGATATCTTCCTATGGATGTGGAGACACGGCCGCTATGCACAAAGATGCACAAAGGCTGTTGACCGGGGGAGCGGTGTCCTCTTCGCAAATGTATGGAAGCCGGTGAGGGCCCGTGTAATGCACAGATTTATTCGCTTGGCGGAGATGTATTTGCTTTTGAGGACACTATCATTTGGATACATATCTGCTTTATGAAGGAACATACACTCATGTCGTTTTAGTGTGTCTGATCAACACATTGGAAATAATATGGTGTTTTCCCTGCAGATAAACTCACATTAATGGGAATCGTAGTATAGTTCTATTAGGCATTGTTCACTGAGCAATGCTGAATAGAATTTGCGCCAGTGGTAACGGCGGGAGTGTATGCACGGGTCTGATCGGAGCAGCGTTCACAGTTAACACGCTGATTCCTTTGTGTAGCTTTCTGGCGGGAACTCCACAGCACATGGTTTTCTTTGCTAACTGGTGTGCACGGAGGTCACATGTTGGGAGCTGGGAGCTCTGGGAGTTAGCAGCTGGGAGCTGTGCATGTTGCGCTGCACAAAAACTTGGAACAGTGCATGCCTGGAGGAAACTGTGAATTTTGAAATATGAGCAATAAGGGGCCTGACCTGGAAAAGAGGTGATAAAAATTAAGGCAAGAATCCCAAAATCGTAACCCACGAGGACTCCTCTTTCTATTGTCTGTTCAAATGTACACGTGTCTCATTGGCTGACTCTGTGTTATGTAAATGTATTGAGGAATTGATTGGCTGTTGTGGCCATCCTTTCTTTCTGTTATCCCTTTGTGCCCTATAAATAAACAGGAGCTCCCTGCACTAGACAGTACTTTCTACTGAGCATCCAATGTGAGAAGAGCATGTGTCTGTTTTACTTGGTACTGCAGAGCGCGCTCTATCATATTATACAAAAGAGCTGAGAACTGTGCTTTTTAGGGCAGGGGATTTCTATGAGCATGAGCGTATATTAATATCCAGAACATATTGGTGAGCCAGGATTATTAAGGAGCCGACAGAGTTCCCTTCACAGCGGACCAAGAGGAGGGGAAGGCAAATTGGGGTTCAGTGCAACAAAAAGGCCGGCCGTTTGGTAAGATAAACTTTATTTCAACTTTTGAAATTTTTTGTTGTTCTGATACTGGAATCTGTTTTCTCTGTCCGCTGTGTCAGGTAAACTCTGCTCAGCAAAAGTACCTTATTTTGCTTCTCCTCTTTTTGTATAATTTCAGGGTTTTTGTGTTAATATTTGGTACCTGAGATAGGGGTATTGATTGGGGAGAAAGCCTATACTGCTGTCCTCTATAGGACCCCAGTCAAAACAACTTAGAGGGTTTGTGTAAAGGGCTGCTGTGTATGTTAGATGTGTAGTCAATATTTTGTTATATAGTCGGGTTCTTGTGTGAAGCGAATTTCTTTTGTTAATAATAGAATTCCGGTTCGTGTAAGTTTTTGCGGTACAGTGTTATACTGAGCGGAATTATTCTATTGTTAGGCTGAGATTCAGCGCTAAGCGGAAATCTATACCGTAACGTGAGAATAGTGACGGGGTGGTACTGCTCCTAAAGGTTGGTGCAAGGGTACTCTGGACGCAGAGTTACTGTAAAAAAGGCTGTGCCACCATTTTGTTTTTGCACTAAGATCCATGTGGCTGTGCCACCATTTTGTTTTTGTAGTGAGTTTTATATTTCAAGTGTAATTATTGGGTTTTAGTATTAAAGGGCAGTTTTTAACTAAATTTCAGTTATTGGTGGTATTCATTTTGGTACTGCAGTTTTTAACAAGGAATTAAGTTTCAGGTGGAGCTGGTTCATTTTTAACTGAGTTTTAGTGTCTATTGAAAGCAATTCGTTTGCTTTTGCATTAAATAGCTGTTTTTTCCAGGGTAGTTATTTTGTCTTTTTGTAACTCTTTTTCCCGTTATTTGTGTAACTTTTTATTTTTGGTAGAATTCAGTGTTGAGTGTAATTAGTCAATTTTTACATTGGATTTATTTTTCGAGTGGAATCATTTTGGTTTTGTGCTGATTTGCGGTTACTTAGTGGAGATATCGCTTTCTGTGTGGTTTTCAGGAAGAAACATTGTACATTCTGTGAGTAGACAATAAAACGGCATCCCCATAGTAGTTGTTACATCTAGGAATAGACTGAGCAATTGTATTGTATAGCAGAGGATGTTCATGGTATTCTGAGGCTGTCTTACGACACAGTAGGGTTAAAACGAACGTGTGGGTGGTGGGCCGCTGCCGTATAAGCGGCGGATTGAGACACGTCTGTTTTAGCATACAAAGTGAGGAGTGGATTCTAAGCCCACCAACAGTAGGCCGTGTAAAATAATCAGAGTTGGGTGTGTGGTCACTAAAGTGCTGTATACATACCACCCTTATAGCTGACCGGCGTTGGGCCGTGTACAATAATCGGAGTCTGGATGCAAACCGGTACCGTGAGAATAGTCACCAGGCGGTACTGCTCCTAAATGTTGGTGCAAGGGTACTCTGGACGCAGAGTTACTGTAAAAAGCCAGTTCGATTCGTCATGGGCAATGGGCCGTCCATGTTAAGGAGGGAAAAAGAGGCCTCCCACAGTCAGACAGCTTCCCAGTACATGAGGTCTGGGTTTGGCGTTCAGGCAATGAAACCCCTTAAAGTGTGGCACAAATGGTCCAAGGGAACAGCTTGGTGTATTCCCTTGGAGGGGACTTTTGATGCCTGGGGGTGGGAGAAACTCATCACCGAGTTTAGACCCAGGCTACAGGCATCAGGGACCTTTTGTGAAGCTTAGTTATGGCTTCAAAAGTCTATAATGGTTAATTGGCAGGGTGTACAGAGGGCGGTTTCAGTCCGAAAGAACCATGTTATGTATACCTGGCCTGAAGGCATAGCCGGAAGTGAAGATCCAGTAAGGGAAGCGGAGGAAGCCTTCTCTGGGCTAACCCTGCTAAGACGAGCTGGATCCACTAATCCCGAAACTACTGTTGTCTCTCCTGAAACCCCTGCTATTGCTGATTCCACTATTGTTAGCCTCTATACCACCAATTGCAAAATTTTTTTGTGTCATTGAACTAACTAATGCATTTTTCTCTGTACCACTGGACCCCCAGTTCCATTGCCTTTTTGCTTTTTCATTCCAGGGTCAACAACTAACTTGGACACGTCTCCCTCAGGGGACAGTGACTAGTCCCACGGAATACAGTTGCAAGCTTAAGATCGTGTTAGATCAGTGGGCCCCCGATGGATCCAGGGGTGGTACTGCTGCAGTGTGTGGATGACTTGCTACTTTGTTGTCCCACGCAGCAGGCTTATTATCAGCATAGTGTATCATTGCTTAACCATCTGGCGTCCACAGGTAATAAGGCTAGCAAGGAGAAACTACAGTTCTGCAAGGAAAAGGTTATCTTTTTAGGACATTGCATAGCTCAGGGTACCCGACATCTAACCACCCAGAGAGTCCAGACCCTGTAAGACATCCAGAGACCTGGGAACACTCGACAATTGAGAGCCATTCTCTGACTTATCAATTACTGCAAAGACTGGGTCCCTAACATATCATCCAAATCAGGGCCCCTTTATGAGTAAACATCACAAACACCTTTTCAATTGTCTGACGACAACTGGTCAATCCTACAGGAACTCTCCAAAGCACCTGCTTTAGGTCTGCCCAACTATGACCTCCCCTTCTATCTTTTTTGCCATGAAAATCAGGGCCATGCAACTCGAGTACTGACCCAGCTACATGCACCCGAGGCTCACCGGGATGTGTACGAGCTGTGTACGAGCTGTGGCCGCCTGCGCTGTACTACCACAGAAAGTAGGTGACATCGTTTTGGACTCCCCGTTGACCCTCTATACTCCCCATTTGGTGCA